AAAGAAAAGGAAAGAAAAAAAGCTGCAGGGGGCGCCTCTATGGCTCTGGTGGTAGAACATGCCACTCTTGATCTTAGGGTGGTGAGTTCAAGTCCCAGGTTGGGTGTGGAGCCCAGTTAAAATTTAAAAACAAAATAAACAAAAAATGATACATTTGGTAATTGGTAGAGCCATGTGAATTTGAGTCCTTCTGCCTTGGAATCCTGCCCTTCCCTTTCTTTTCTCAGACTTTTGTTTTTGGGTTTTTTGGGGGGGGGGGACGCTTTTGTTTTATTCTTTTTCGGATCTTCACATGTCACATTAGTTTCAGGTGTACGACATAGTGATTTGACAGCTCGGTATATTCTGCCGGCTCACCATCCTTTCTCGTACTTTTTGAAGCCCTCAGTGGAGACTTACAGGTTCTGATTTTCTAACGATAAAAGCATACTGAATTACATTCCGCATTAAGTCAGTACTGAATTATCATTATGGATTATCATTGAAAATACATAAGGTGGGAAGAACATTTCCACGTAGGTCCAGCCGTGCTGTCCATATAAATCTGTATCTTGGTTCTTTTCCACGTAACGTGATAATATGTGCCTTGTTCCACGGTATTAGGAATTCTTTGTAGACCTTTCCAGTGCGTGAGCAACAGTCCCTCAGTCAGACCTCCATTTGCTTCCAACAATCCCCTATTGTTGAACCTTCCCGTGGCTTCCTGTGTGTTGCTGTCAGCAAGTGCTGTGAAGAACATCTTATCCAGAAGGGTTTTTCTTCACCCTATTTCCTTAAGATAGTTTCTCAGAAGTGGAAATACTGGTTCAAGGGCTCTGCACATAGGAAGTCTCTGCCTACATATTGCCAAAGAGTCCCCAGAGGGTGGCGCCCATTCCTTCCCCCCTCCCCCCCGGGGGGGGGAAGTGTCAAGAGGATTCGGAGGGCACATTCCCAGTCTAACTGCCTTGTGTTCTTTCCCCAAAGCCTCATAAAGAAGATGGCCCAGAGCGTGGTAGAAGTCATGGAAGACGCCAAGGGGAAGGTTCCGGAGAATCTCCTGGCCAACGGAGGTAGGTCACTGGCGTGTTCTTACCCAGGCCTCTCTCAGCCGGTTCTAGCACATTGCACGCCCTGTCGAGGGTGCAGGGACCCAGCCCCGTGGAGCATCTAGATGGACACGTTGGGCAGAGCTGTACACCCCGTTTTGAGCTCAGCAGGACTGCTGGCTTGAAGACTTGCCCCTTGGCCTGTGGATGGTTCTGGCTGTGGCATTTCGAGAACATCTGGCATTTTTTACCCCGTAGACACCTGCAGGGAGAATGGGGTCAGTAGGGTCTCGGGGTTGTTTGATCTGCCCGCCTTCTCTATCAGCTTGTGTTCTATCCTGCATGGAAAATTCCACCCGTCCCCCACTCCCGTCCCCACCCCCACCCAGCCCAACCCATTTCTCCCTCTCCCCAGATGAGGCTGGAAAATGCCTTCAGGGGCCGGGAAAAGCCTCAAAACTTAAGTCTTTAAGTTGTGCCCAGTAAATACACAGTTAAGACTGAACATGCTCTGGGTCATGTGTTCGCATTTGGAATTTCTGTCTCTCCTGTGCTGTAGGAGAGACCCCAGATTCCAGAGACATTCGGGCCCATTAATTGTGTACGTACAATCTGAGTGCGCTGAAAATGTGCAAGACACAAGCTTGGTGACTTCGGAGACTTTAGAATTAGGCGTTTGAACTCCGCAGAAGTCAACGGAACGTGTGACTCTTGTGACTCTATGTACGAACACTGAAAATGGGAGTGTAAATTCTGTATCTAACATGGCTCATTTGTTACATATCGATTCATAGTTTTTCCCTCTTGGGAACCATAGAAGGCTTTTTTATTTGCTTGTTTAAATTGACGAATGGAAATGCTCCTGCTCCCACATCTGAACTTGGCTTCGTGTGTTCATGCAATATAATAACTTCCCCTTATTACATTGCAGGTTTGAAGGAAAAAATGAAATATTTAAAGAGTAGGTCATAACGTTTGCCGTGAGTGTGCTTGGTGTGACGCCTGCATGTCCCTGGGAAGGTGGACTCTCAGTCTGGTCCTTGGGGTGTGGTGGTAATCGGGTCATGGTGGATTTCTCGAGTAACAACCTGGCACCTGGGTCACGATAGCCATATGACCTATCATCACCTTTATTCCTTTTCCCTCTTTCTCATGTCTGCCCTGCTTCGCCCCCACCCCCCAGCCCTGCATGCTTCCAGGAATTGGGTGATCCTCTGGCTCTGGAGTTCAAGGTGGACTTTCTGTATCTTTTGGCTTGTGGTCTGCTCCTTGGCTTTGATGTCTGTCCTCAGTGCCCACTCTCCTGAGTCTGGCTGTTTTGTGGATCCTGGCAGCTTATATGTCAGGCTTAGCTTTGTGTGGCCCTGCTGGGGTCCACTCAACACAAGGGCTCTTCTCTCATGAGCCTTGTGGGGGGTGGGGGGGGCGGGGAGCGTCCCTATACCTCAATAGGCCATTCCTGGCTAAAAGGAGCCATTTGCTTTGGGTTTGCTCCAACCTGCTCCAACCTGCTCAAAGCAGCAAATCCTTTTAGGACAAACAATTAAGGCCAGCAAATCCTTTCAGGAGGAACACAGATCTTTACAGATTGGAACTTAGCAAAAATACTTTTCCAAATGCAATCTGTTGGTGACACTGAAGTCTCTTGCTGATGCTAATAAAAAATTATTTTTGTTGATCAGCTGATCGTACTTCCCAGCAGGTAACTTGTAGGGTCCTAGACTGAGGAGCTGACTTAAGGTAGAGAGCTACTTTTCTACATAAAAACCTGGTCTTTAAGGCACGAGGATTTGAGCTCACAGTAAAATAGCGATCAAGATGCTTGCTTCTACTCAAAATTCACGTTACTTAAAACTAGATGTTACCACTCATCGTCTCCATCCCCAGTGCATTATTAGCCCGCTGCCTCTCATCTCAGGGAGGAGGAAAGTCAGCTTTATTTGTTTATGTAATACGCTTCATTATCTCCAGGCCCCTTGAGAATCGGGTGGGTCCCCATGACTTCCTAGACAAGACGAGAGCTTCCAAGCCTTGTTCTGTAACCAGCCCTGTGCAAACAGAGGTCAAGGGCTTGTGGCCGATAACTCTTTGACATTCACAGTGTGTGTTAGCATAATAAAGGCTCTGAGAAGTACTGCAGTCCTGAGACCTGGTCAGACTGACTTTGGCTCAGGCTTTCCTGATATGATTTCCTTTGGGAAATCTTTTTCTTATTCTTCTGCAGAGCACCCACGGAACTAGTGAACTAGCGATTGACAGAATTAACTGGAGGGCTCAGGGCTGCCCCCACTAGGCGGGGTTTAATCCATCTCCCCCAGGGCAATGCCACGGGGACAAGCCAGCCGCAGCCGCAACCGCCTTGGAGCAGCCAGACCCAGTCCTGGACCTTGGCCGGTCACCTCTCTGGGTCCTGGTTTTCTCCCCCGTCAGTGGACTTCATCCTTTACAGGCTCTTCGCCTTTCTTAGGCACCTTTTGTTTTGGCTTGTTCTTTGCCCCCAACTGAGTTTTGAGTCTGGAAGGAAGGCTGTAGATGCTTTGGTGCTGGGCAAACACACCACTGTCTGGAGCAGGCCCTAGAACGGTCACCGAAGTTCTAAGCACCTGGAGAGTCGTCTGGCTGACCAGGAGATGGTCACGGGTCCCTCATCCTGCTCCCTGCCAGGAAGGCCTTGCTGTGGTTCTCAGATGAGGTCACTGTTACTCAAGAGCCGCCGCCTGTTGATTGCATGTTTTGATTCTGAGTGAGCCTGCCTGGGTCGTGGTCTGACCTCACGGGCCATCTGTCCAAGCCCCGGATTGCTCCCTTGGAGGCCAGGCTTCTCTGACTTCAGCCGGGGGCGGGGAGGGGAGGCCTGTTCTTTCCCGGGTAGGCAGAGAGAAGGCTGCAGGGCTGGAAGGACAGCAAGGCCCAAGGGGACGGCTTGCTGCTTTCTAAGATGGAGGACCGTCCTCAGACCATGTTGTCACCGAAGGTGATGGGCGCCGACAGGGCGGACGGTCAGGGTCTGGAGCTGGTGCTCCTGACGTGCCAGGGGAGGCACGGGAGGAGGGGGTCATAGTCGCACCCCAGAGATCTCAAGGGGCTTCTGTGCTGGGTGCCAGGCACGCAGAGGTGCTTGCTGTCCAAGAGCTCCTGGCCAGGGGGACAGCCCCGCGGTCCCGCACGTGCTGTGATGTGAGAGGGGCCTGGGGGGCCCCCCCGAGGAGATGGGCAGAGTCTGGCAGGAATCACAGGAGCCCCTCTAGAGGAAAGGGCCAACTCATCTTCTCTGCTCTGAATGCCACAAGGACCTTAGCGTCTGTGACAATGCATGGGGACGAGTCATTGTGCAGTGTGTCTCTTCTAAGCCACCCACGTTGTGCAAGTTAGTACATCACCGGAGTCATGAGGGAGATTCTTACATGGGACGCTTGCTCTGTGCTGGGCACTAACAGCTCTGGGGACACAGAAATAGCCATCTGCCCTCGGGGAGCCTGGGAGCGCAGAGAGAATTGGGAGGATCAGGCAGCGTCAGGAGAGTCCGGGAACAGGCGAGCGTCCAAGGCAGCAGTGGGATGGACAGTCGGCAGGCGTTCGGGAGGTGGCCCTTGTCCTGATGCTGAAGGACAAAAGCAGCAGAGAGAGAGAGAGTGGGGGTGGGAGGCGGCTTGGCTTGGGGGTGGTGTGCCCACAGGGTGCTGGAAGTGGCAGAGCAGGGAGGAGACGGGGCACAGATCCCAGGGCGTCTCCCGCCCAGCATCTCCTGCCTGGGGCCAGTCGGGGGGCTGGCGATGGCTCCAGCCTGGCCCACTGGGTGGGGGGGGCTCCCTGAGTGGGATCAGTTGCCACGGGAGGAGTCCTCCACCTTCCGGTTCTGCCTCGGGCTGTGCCCCCACCCCCCATTATCCAGACATTCGTTCTGCTCCTCCCTGGTCTGTACATTTTTGTACAAAGTCTTCCCCTGCAGGGGGTGGCAATACAAAAATCCATATTAATACCCAATTTATACCCAAATCTGTATTAGCTCGAGGTGCCATAACAAAACACCAGCCTAGGGGGCTGTCACAACAGACATTGATCTCCCACAGTTCTGCAGGCTGGAAGTCCAAGATCAAGGTGCCCGCAGGCTGGTTCCTTCACTATGTCCTCACAAGGGCCTGGCCTTGGAGGAGCACATGGGGAGGGGGAGAACGAGCGAGCGAGCTTCCTGGCGTCTCTCCTTAATAAGGGCGCTCATCCTAGCGGATCAGCTCCCTCCCCTTGGCGCCTCTTGTCAATTCCAGCCCCATTGGAGCCTGAGGGACACCTTCTAAGTGCGAGTGAGCCAGACGTATCAGCACGTGGTTCTTGTGCGGAGATGGACCACCGTGCACGCCGCAGGGTAGCCGTGACCAGCCGTGGGGGGGCGGGGAAGAAGCGTGGTGCTCCGTTGCTCCACGGTCACCGTCAACTCCTATAGTGGATGTTAGCAAGGTGACTGGCGTATGCTGGTCCCATCTCTAAAGTGGAGATGATGATAGTACTTAATAGGGTTGAAAGGTAAGTTAAATGCACTAATTCTCGGGTCCTGGCCAAGGTGAACAATGAGTGTCACCTACCCGAATGGTTGTAAGGCCTTCCCACTTCCGTGCACACCCCTCTGCCAGCAGGCCGCTTACCTCCACAGAGCCCCGTTTCACTTCCGTCTGTGTCCTGGGGACTCATCTACCCTCGTGTCGGGCCCCAGCTTCCCTGGAGCTGAGCTCATCTCCTCTCCCCTCTGCCCTGTCCCGTCCTGCTGCGCCCTTGCGGCTGCCCAACTTAGTGAGTGTCCCCTCCCTCTACCCTCTCACCTGACCTGGAAATCCAGGTGTGCCCTGGGCCTCCTTCGTGGGCAGTTGTCCTGTTGAGCCTGCCCTCCCTCTTCTGCTTCCAGAGCTTAGGCCCCTCTGAGCTGCTCCTGTTCTCACACAGTCCCCCTGCCGGCTTCTCCCCGGCAAAGCCCCCACTGGCCCCAGGGAAGTCTCAGTGCATGAACGTCCTTGGCTGCCTACACAGCCCCCGGAGGCTTGGTGTCCTAACCTGCTTGGTGACCTCTCCGGCCCTGCTATTGGACTTGGAGCGACGTGTGGCCAATTACTGGCAGATAATGGGGCGGGGGGGGGGGGAATAGGTGTCTCCAATGTCCTCACCCCGGGAGAAAGTGCGGACACGGCCCTCCGTGACCCTGCCCCGGCCCTCCTGTTCCATTGGGTTGTCCCAGAGATTCCTGGGCCCCCAGGCAGGATGTCCTCCAGGCAGCTCGCACCCAGCACCCTCCCCCTCCCCCTCCGGCCATGTGGCAAACTCCTGTCACCTCCAGCCCCTGCATGAAGCCCTCCTTGCCCTCCCTGGGAGTCAGGCGCCGGCTCTCCCACCCTTCACACCCTGCTACGCTCCTGTTGCCATTCTCCGTGGTGTGAGGTTTGCCTGGTTGTCTCCCTAGGAGACTGAGCGCTATGAAGTCCAGGCGGTGTGGTCTCTCCCCCCACCAACGGTAGCAAGCTGGTGCTCAGTGGGTGTGGTCTCCCCCCCCACGGTAGCAAGCTGGTGCTCATTGGAGGTTCCTGACTGTTGAGTGAGCAACCCCCCCAGTGCCCTTTATCTGCACAAGGACGTGCTGGGCAGGGCAGGCGTGCACATGTGGTGTGAGAGGCCAGTGGGGGCAGGCTGGTCTTGCTCGGGTTCAAGGGTTTCTGGGGGCCACCCCAGCATCGCATACACTGACCCAACTCAGTACGGGGAGTGAGGGGCAGGTGTAAGCAGCAGTTGGCTCCAGGGGGCACTCTCTAAATGTGCACAGAGCTGATCTGAAGGGTGCGCACTTGAGCTGAGTTATCGTGGTCCTGGCTCGGCCCAGGTTCCCTTGTGTGGCTTGTCGGACCTCAACTCCAGAGCTCCATCCTCTGCCCGTGGCTGATTAGGGAACCAGAAATGCCCCAAAGGCACTGGGTTTAGGTTTGGAGAAAGTAAGGGGGAAAGGGAAATTTTTGAGAAAACCCTGATTTGGTCTACTCACTATAGACTCTTATATAAAGGACAGACACTGAAAAATGCACCTCCTCACCAGGCAGTAAAAACCACAGTCATAGACTCTAGTATTTTGCCAAGGTTTGCCACCGCCGCCTTCTGATCTCCTCCTCCTCCTTCCCCTCCTCCTTAAAAGATGTATTTGAGAGAGAGAGAGCACAATGGGGGAGGGGCAGAGGGATAATCTCAAGCAGACTCCCCTGAGCACAGAGCCCGACGGGGACCCATTCCCGGGACCCCAAGATCATGACCCACACAGAAATCGGGAGGATGCTCAGCCAGCTGAGCCACACAGGCGCCCCTAGAATGCCTTCTTTAAAACAAACCATCTGCGGGGCACCTGGGTGGCTCAGTTGGTTAAGCGACTGCCTTCAGCTCAGGTCATGATCTCAGGGTCCTGGGATCGAGCTCCGCATCGGGCTCCCTGCTTGACGGGAAGCCTGCTTCTCCCTCTGACCCTCTCCCTGCTTGTGTTCCCTCTCTCGCTGTCTCTCTCTGTCAAATAAATAAATAAAATCTTTAAAAAAATAAATAAATAAAAAAATAAAACAAACCATCTCCGTTGTAATGGCCTCTATCCAATGCTTGGGTGAGGAAGGTGGAAAAACAGCTCTTCTTGTGAGCAGGTGGTACCATACTATCCCGTGGTCTTTGGGGGTTGGCCTGAGGCGCTCTGGCATGTCTTTTGAGGTACCTCAAAACAGAAAAATAGCCCAACAGCGGAGTGTGGCCAACACAACCAGAAAAGGGAGGTATTAACCTGGCCCTCAGACTATCTCCCGATTTTGCTTCTACCTCGTGGGAAAGTAGGATCTCCCAAAGGCATATCTCGGGGAGCAGCCGTCTGAGAGCATTTGGGGCACAGGTGTGTTCTGGTCACCTTGGCCCTGTGGCTGGTGGCGGGTTTTTCGGAGGGGTGCTGCTGATGGTCCTGACCGAAGGCCAGCCAGCTGGCTCAGTACCCCACTCCCGGGGGGCGTGTGTGCTCTCCCAGGGCCCTGACTCTCTCCTTCCTTTTCTCTGATTGCTTCCTTGGTTTCCGTGGGGATGCTTGGCTCGGGGTTTGGCAGCCTTGGTCTCACGAGATGGGGAGAGTCCCACTCATTTGTTGAAATGTTTCTTCCAGTTGACTTACCATCCTTTGTGACCCACTTTGAATGGGACATGGCGAAATACCCCGCGAAGCAGCCGTTGGTGAGCGTGGTGGACACGCTAGCGAAGGTGAGGAGGGCCTTCTCTCAGGGGACAGATAAACTTCAGTGACCAGGGCGATCTGACCACCTGAGGGAGATCTACATGGCCTTGAGGCCCTGGCGGTGGTGCCAAGAGGGACCTTCTGGGAGGCCACAGTCAGGGGGCTAGGTGGGGTCCTAGCTCTGCCGAGTGACCCTGGGTGGAGTCCCCCTCCCATCTGCTTCCTGCCAGCCCTGACCAGGCCCGGTGCTTTTTTGAGGTGTGGCCTTCCATGCCCTGGGCAAGGTCAGAGACTTTGGGGTTTCAAGGCGGGCACCTGCTCTCCCTCCATACCCCTTCTGGCCCTGTTGCCTGCCCGGCGGCGGCATCCACAGACACTCCCCTGACATGCCTGGCCCAGACCCTGGTGCCCCTTCCATGGGTTCCCTCCAGCTCGCTACTTTTTGAAAGGTGCTGAGGGAGCAGCTCAGCCCCATCCTGACCTACTAACAAGAGCCTCATACCCCCCAACCACATCCCAGAGTGATTGTCTACTTGACAAGAACTATCTGCTTCTGTGGAGAGTCTAGCTTCGGAGCCCTAACTCCTGGGAGGCGTTTCTGGAAGGCATCACCAGGGGTCCTGCCCCTGCTTTGAGGAGCCTGTGACAATAGTGAGGCCAGTAAGGGGCACCTTGTGGCATGGTCGGTTGAGCCTCCGACTCTTGGTTTTGGCTCAGGTCATGATCTCGGGTTGTGGGATTGAGCCCCACATCAGGCTCTGCGCTCAGCGGGGAGTCTGCTTGGGACTCTCTTTCTCTCCGCATCCCCCTCTAAAAATAAATGAATAAATTAAAAAAAAAAAAAACAGGCCAGTAAGCACTGCACCCCACAATTCTACCATCTTGGTAAGCGATGGCCTCCAGCTTTCACTTCGTAAATAAAAGCACTGTGGCGCAAGTCTCTGGGGACGTTGTGGGGGTCTCGTGGCCTTGTTGACTCCTGTGTGTCTCACTGAGGGTGAGCTCTGATGGTTGGTGACTGCCTGTCCCCCTCCCTCTGCCATACACTGAGCCCCTCATGGGCCATGTCTCCTCCTGGCTCAGGTGGCTGGGAGAGAGAGTCTCAGCCAGGCCAGGAACAAAGCCTTCCTGTTGTCTCCTCAGACCACAGAGCCACCCAGGTGTGTCTGGGCGGGTCAGGTGCAGGAGATGGGCCACTGGGACCCATCCGAGTGCAGCCCTGTGCGCTCCCCACAGCAGGCTGGTGCCTGGCCCGTTTCTCTGGGAACTCGGGTGGGGCCAGAAGGCTCTGGAATCTGGGTGCGGCCTCTCGGGCACTGCTTACGCCACAGAGGTCCTAGCCCCTCCTGGGACAATTGGGCAGTGATTCTGGAAAGCCCTCTGAGGAGGGGCTGCCCGGCGCTCCTGTGCCAGACGTGGCTTCCGGGAGGTTCTGTGGGCCTCTACCACCAACCTAGAGGGGCACCCTGCGTTGCTGAGGCCAGGCTGAGCCAGGCAGGCGGTCAGGCCATGCTCTGAGTCCACTCGGGACTGTGCTCACTGGCGGGGCTGTCCCAGGGATGCCGGCTAGCGATGAGGACCCTGGGACATGTCGGGGGGTCAACCGAGAGGGGAGCAGAGCAGTTGGAGAGGACAGCACTTGCCTTCTCTCTAGTCCAGGCACCCAGAGAGTGACTTCGGCAGGAAAGCGGGGAGGGGGAGGAGGGCACTGGTGTTGATAGCGCTCCCCGTGTGCCCAGAACCACGCAGGGCTCTCCTTCCACGTCACCCCTGTGAGGGAGGACCCCCTTCCTCTGACCTCAGATGAGGAAGCTGGCTGAGAGGTTAAGTGGCTTGCTCCGGGACCACCTGGGATGGGAATGCAGGTCTTGGTTGGGCTGTGTGTGTGTGTGTGTGTGTGTGTGTGTTTGAGAAAGAGAGAGAGAGAGAGAGAGAGACAAGGCTTCCCAAGGAAGCCCGGGGCCAGCTCCACTGCAGGGAACCAGCTCTTTGAGGCTCTGAGTATTGGCCCCCGGAGGTTGTCCTGCACCAGGACCCCGTGTGTGATGCCCACAGCCGTGGTTCAGGTCTGTTCCTCCAATGGGAGGTCCTTCACGGGGCAAGCCTTGGGGACACAAAAGTCGCTGTGTTGCTGGGCATCGAGTAGCACTTGCTGGATGTCCAAGCAGGTCTCCCAGCCTGGGAGGAGCCTTGTGCTGACGTGGTCAGGGCCAGGCCCCGGCCCCCAGACCCTCCCGACCGCTGGGAACTGAGCCCACCCCCGGCCCTTAAAGAAGAGGCTCAAGGGTGGGGAGGGCTTCGCCCCCTCCCAACCCTGCATTGTGGCAGCATGACCTGTCACCGGGTCAGGGACCCAGCCCACTGCGGTGTCAGTCTCCACAGGCCTGGTCATGCTGCAGGTTCGAAAAAGCCCCCAAACCTCATGGGTGTGACACAGCGCAGGGTTTATTCTTCAGCACGCACACGTGCAGCCGAGGGTGGGGGTTCCATGCTGGCCCCCTCGGGGCGCTGGCGGCTGGTGTCTCCACCACTGGAAACATCTCTGGGTTCTGCAGGTGGGTCCGGGAGGCTCTCGGGGCTTCTGCCAGCCAGCCCCACACCTTGGAGCCCGGCTGAACGCATGTCCTCAGCACTCCCTGTGCCGGCCACCCTCCCGGGGTCACGACACAGGGGCGGGTGGGGGGGACCTGGCCCCCTGGAGGAGCTCCGGCTGGGGCAGGTGGGCCTCGCCTTGCTGAACAGCCTGCTCTGCAGATTCTGGGAGCTCTCCGTAATTCCGTGGGCTTGAGCTCAGAGAGGGCCAGACCTGACGCCAGCTCACAGGCAGGCTGAGTGCGAACTGGTTCCAGAGCCCTGGTTCCTCTCGCCATCCACTGGTTTCCAAACACCCCTCCGCAGGTTTTCATTGGCTTGTGGTGAAACCAGAAAAGGAAGGAAGATGTAGGATTTTTTTGTTTGATTTTTTTCCTTTAAAAAATAATTGTGTGTGTATGTGTGTGTGTATAATATTAATTTTAAAAATCAAGACAGTGGATTGTACCTGAGTCGGTTTCTTGGTTAAGATCGCGTACTGTTATGTAAGATGGGTACATGGGGTCTCTGTGTCCTATTTTTAAAAATATTTTATTTTTTCATTTTCTTAAGTAATCTCTACACCAAACGTGGGGCTTGAACCCACGACCCCAAGATCAAGAGCCGCATGCCCCACCGACCGAGCCAGTGGGGTGTCCCCCTGTGTCCTCTTTCTATAATTTCCCATGAAATCTGTCACTGTTTCAAAGGAAAAGATTTTTAAAAATTGTAAAAAAATATATATATATCTTATTTTTAAAATCAGACATATCCAAGATAGGAGGATAAAAACGTGAAAGGCTTCCCGTGACAAGACCCCTCCCTTTCCTCCCCCACTAAAGGTGACCGATGTGTTAACCGTTGAAAGTGGATCCTCCCGTCTCTATACGAACGAAATCTGTGTATTTCAGGTCAGGATCGTCCGGTCCCTCAGGCCGCCTCCTTGTTGTCGCGTGCTGATGCTGGGATATCCGCGTCGGCAGTGTTTGTTGGCGTGGAGCGGGGGTCCCACGGGGGCGACTGCACGCCACCAGGGAGCTGGCCCAGGACGTGGGGCTCTGGGTTGGGAGGAGGGGTGCGGCCCCTCAGGAGCTGCAGGGGTCGGCCCTGCGCCCCACTGCGTGCGGGAGTCTCCCGCGATCATCTGGAAGGCCGCGCCGAGTCCCGTACCGTGGGGTGCCCCCCTTTGTTGAACCGGTTCTGGACTGATGGGCTCCACTGCCCAAGTGTGAGCCCTGGGGGGCAGGGGCTGTGTTTTGAGGGCTTCCGGCGAGGTAGGCCGTGGTGGGCATTTGCCTTTCTCTGTTTCGAGCCCTTGGGGAGGACATTACCCCCCTGGCCACGCAGATGGGGCCACTGAGGCCAGGCAGCCAGAGAGCTAGGCCGTGGGCCCGGGCTTGTCCTGTTTCCCCTCTTTCCACGACATGTCCGCCTGGGCCCGCTGCAGGTGGGGCTCTGGGACGCCCTCCCTGAAACTCGAGAACAGGGGATCTCCTTCGTGCCAGGCCCATGACCTGCGTCCAAGCCGAAAGGAACCTTCCTACCTACCTACCCCTTCCTGTGGGAAGGGGCTGTGGGGCCCAGCTGAGCCTGGGACCGGGCATTGGCAGGGTCGTGCCACAGTGGTCCCCCCTCAAGCCAGGATGGGGTCAGCTGGGCTGGCCTGGCAGTGCGAGAAGGGCTCGCGATCAGAAGATTCACCTCACTGAGTGATCCTAGAACAGCCATGCCTGTCTCGAGCCACGGTATCTGCAAAGTGGGGCTGTGAAGCTCTCCCCTGCTCCCTGCAGGCTACTGTAGGGCCACCCGCTGGCGTGTGCGAGAGCCGTGGGAAGAAAACGGAGCATTCCTGACCGGTGGGCAGCCCTGATGATTCCTTATTCCGAAGTGTGCTGTCAACAGTTTAGGGCCATTTTGAAAAGTTTGGCCACCTCTTTCACTTTTCCAAATAGCAACTGGCACAGATCGAGACTGACCTGAAATCCCGAACAGCCACCTACAACACTCTGAAGACAAACCTGGAGAACCTGGAGAAGAAATCCATGTGAGTATCCGAGTTTCTGCACTGCCGGGGCCGGGCGGGGGCCGGAGTGTGCCTTTCAGATCACTGGGTGAACCCGGTCTGTGCCTGGGTTGAGAGAGAGCCAGAGAGCCAGCCAGCCAACCAGGCAGATGCCGAGGCACTCCTGTCTCTTGGGAGCTGCGTGCTGGGCGGGGAGGCCTTGGTGCATATGACCGGGTGGCAAGGCCCAAGCAGGGGTGATGGCACCTCCCTGCCTGGAGCCAGAGAGGAATACCATGCTGCCCCTCGCCCCCTTCCCTCCCTCTCCCAACCGCCCCAGGTTACTGAGAACAGCTGGGGTGGGTCCCAAGACCTTTCCCCCGGGGAGCTTTACAGAGGACCCTCTCTGCATAGGCAGAGGGGGACCTGACTGGTAGAGCCTGGCCCTTTGTGAGGGCCCCCCAGGGGCAGTGGGTGCCGCAGCCCAGAGCAGAGCAACCGCAGGGACTCTGGTGCCTTCTTCATTCAACTAAAGGACCTCCACATGAGAGACGGAGCAGACCGCATGGCCCACCAGCCACCAGTCACCAGGATGGTGGGAGGTGTCTGGAGGAAAGCAGAAACCTAGTGTCATGATGGCAGCAGCTCTCTGGTGAGGTAGTGAGTGCCTCGTTGTGGGAGGCATGTCAGGAAAGGCCAGTTGAGCTCCCGCCAGGGAGTCTGGAAGGTGCTCCTGAGTGGGACTGAGTTGGCATGGAGGATCCTCCCAGTCTCCCCAGGTTCTGGCTCTGATTCTGTTGGCAGTTGTCTGAAGATCCTCCAAAGAAGGGCAGTGCCCAGGGGACTTCAGAATCAGCTGTCCCTCTGAGTAGCTCACCTTCCCTCCCCTTTTCCGCCTCTCCCTTGGGATGGTCCCTGGGCCAGCCGGCTTCTTGTGAAAGAAGCTTATAGTACGTAGACTTTAAAACCAAAAAGGGAAAGATGCACTTCAACTAGAAATAGTCATTATTGGTGGCGTGACTTGGCATCAGAACTAAATGGGCATCACCTGAGTTTCGCCGCATCCTTGGCCCTACGAAGGAAGGAGATGGGCGAAGGGCGGGGTGCCGGTGGAAGAGAGTGCCCTAAACGGTGACCTTGGCTTAGATCCGTGGTGGCGTTGACCATTTACCTGCTGGGCCATCTACTTGTCGCATCACCGACTTGTGGACTCCTTGAGAATCATTTGGGGCTTGAGCAGACATCTGGTCCGGCCTCGTCAGTCAGCTGATGAAGAAGCTCAGCGGCTGATTGACCGCAGTGCTGATCTATTGATCACTCCCCTGAGTGAAGGGGGATGGGGTGAAGCTGTTCCTGCCTCCTTCGTTCGTTTTTCTTCTTCCGATAAACGTGTATTAAGCACCTACTACACTCTCAGGCTTTATGCCAGGCCCTAAAGGTAACAAAGCAGAGGACAGTGTAATTTCTGCACTCGGGGAGCTCACAGTGACTCACTCAACAAGTATCTACGGAGAATCTGCTTTGTGCTAGGAGTGCAGGCATAAACCAGACAGAGCAGACCCGACGGCGGAACGGTAACGAGGTAGGGGGCACAGGCCTTGTGCCTTTGGAAAGGGTCCTAAGGGACTTAGCAGTGAAGGCACAGGTGGGAGAGGTGAGGCTGGAGGTGGCGTGTTACCTGAGGCCTTGGCCTTGGCCGAGTGCTTGAGAGCCGTTCGCCAGAGCTAATACATCAGCTGATAACCGTGGCCAGGGCGCCCAGGCTACAGATGGTCTCCGAGCTGTCCCTTGGGCCATTTGCTGCTGCAGTAGCCTTGAACCATGTGCTAAAAATACCATGACCTGTCTGGAGCCCGGGTTCCACTGGGCATGAAGCAAGCGATTGCAGGTGAATGTCCCCTGGCGGCTGGACCTGGGAGGTGTGAAAAGTGAAATGGAGCTCTCTCTGGGCCCGTCTCCGCCCAGGACAGCCCGAGTGTTGACACTTGAGTAACTCAAGCTGCCTGCCACCCACAGTCCCCTCCCAGCAGTCCCAGGGGCAGCGCAGGTGATGGCGGTGTTGGATTCCGGCGCCCCTCGGGGGACTGGTGAGGGGGCCTCCAGCCCTGCTAGCCGCAGCAGCTCCAGCCACCCAGAACTAGGGGGTCGGGGGCACACTCAGCCCAGGGATCTGCCACTCTGGGGGGACATAACGAGCCTTCGTGTTTCCTGCCTGTCCTCCTGACCCAGGGCCTGTGTGTTGTGTTTGTGCGGGGGTCCATGCGTCCCAAATGCCCAGGCCCACGAGGCCTCCCTCTGCCTTTCTGCTGATCCCACCCCCTTTGTCCCACATGGATTCAGGGGAAACCTCTTCACTCGGACATTGAGCAATATCGTGAGCAAAGAAGACTTCGTGTTGGGTTCCGAGTATCTAATCACACTTCTGGTCATCGTCCCCAAGTAAGTGGCCCAAGAAAGGGGGTGGCGGGGGGCCTCAGCCTGTGTTGGTGATCATGGAAGGAAAGTGGCCCGGCCCAGCAGAGAGAAAGGGGGGCCCTCCATGGCCTGGACCCCGGGGGCAGGAACAGGAGCAGGGTGACAGTGTCTGTGGGGTAAAGCAGTGACAGAAGCTGCCATTTCTTGAGCAGCTGCTGTGTGCCACCAGCCTTAGGAGCTCATTTCACTCACAGCAAACCGGGGGTGGCTGTTAATCCCTTGTCCAGAGGCCAGAGAAGTCAGTTGGCTTCTCCAAGGCCACACAGGGTCAGGACTAGAAAGCTCCAACGCACATCTCTGGCTGAACCCTTCACATGGGCCCGCTGTGGCGTCCGGGGCCCTTGTGGGGAGACTGGGTCCAGGACTGGGCTGGGGAGGCGGTGTTCAGTGCCCATGGCAGGGCCTTGGGGTGTTTGGGGCTCTCTGGCCCAGTCCTGCTCATCTCAGTCCCGTGGGAAAAGGGGTGTACAGCATCCTAAACACTCGGAACACCCCCAGCATTCTTCAGAAATCACTGAATGATTCTGTATTCTTGCAGGCCAAGCTACACAAAATGGCAAAAAACCTACGAATCCCTCTCGGACATGGTGGTCCCTCGGTCGACTAAGTAAGACCCCAGCTTGGCACCCAGGCACCAAACATGCTCTGAGGACGCAGGGACCCTCAGCCCTCCCCACTTGGCGCTCACCAGAGTCCCTCAGCCTGAAGTTCCTTTGCAGCCACACCCCCAGCCACGTGCCAGACTCCCTCTATCTTTTCGAATGCCGCTTCGCTTCCCCCTCTTCCAGGAAGCCCCCTCTGGCTGCATGCCTGCAGGGATCCCCCTCACGACGCTCTGCTCTGCTTTCTCAGCTCAGGTCGCTGCTTTCCCATCTGAGGGTCAAGCAGGGGCCTGACTCTGATCTCTGATGGCCACAGAGCATGAGCAGCTGGGGGGCAGGGAGGGAGCGGAGTCAGTCTCAGCGGCTGGCCTACTGGGGTCAGAGCAGGAGTGGCCGGGGAGGGCTGGGAAAGTGGCAGGAGAAGGGATACAGGAATACAGTCAAACCGTGAAGATCGTGCACGTGGGCACACCAGCACACGGGGACACCAGCACGTCGGGGCTGCACGCCGCGGCAGGGGTGGGTCTCACGGTTTGGTGCGGAGCAGGAAAAGCCAGTGGCTGAGAAGTACACCCGGCGTGAAGCCATTTATCTGAGGTCGAGAAACGGACCGAACTAAACCCCACGTGATCTGGGCACGTGCAGGCGCACAGGAGAGTCGAGGGGCTGTTTGGGGGATCAGGGCAGGGAGCGACACGCAGCCAGGGACGGGCACGGGGCTTCTGTGGTGTGCGAATGGCTTTAGGTCTTAAGTGGGGCGGCCAATGCATAGTATTCGTTATTCCCTATACCTTCTCGTATGTCTGGAATAGTTTGTAATTTAAAAAGATTGGGCAGTGAGACTGGGCCAGCTTCGCCAGTCGTCTGCTTCCTAGCACACAGGGCGTAGGGTGAGGGCCCACGCCCCTCTCGGCTCCGAGGCCCACCTCCTGCCGGGGAGGCTCTTCCAGGGTCACAGCTCACAGGAGATGGCAATCAGGAGCTACACTGAGGGGTGCAGGGAACTGGACAGCCAGAGCCTGGGGTCACGAGGGGAGGCTAGAGGAAGAAGCCAGGGGCGTCTGCAGGGAGAGGAGGAAGGCAGACAGATGGGCAGATGGGCAGATGGGCAGGTCCTCCAAACCCGACAGCCTGGCAGAGGCCACCAACGCTCTGCCACACTGGCTTTCTGTGGCCACGTGCTGGGGGACCCCTCCACAGAGGCCACCTCAGTTGATTGGGGCGGGGCGGGGGGGCTCTGAGTGACAGGAAAGGGGACCTGGCCAGCATGCCCATGAGACCTGCCCGGGCTTGGCGAAGGGCTTCCCTTAGGTCTTCTGGCCAAAAGGGCTGACTCAAAGACGCTGACCACTGGCTCCGGTGGGCCCTGTGTTGGGACAGCGCCCCCTGAGGCCCTGTGCGGCTTCGGGAGTAGCTCGATCGCTCAGGCATCTCTCAAACTGGAGCCAAACTGGGGGTCTCTGCACCTTGAGGGCCTGCGTGTAGATCACCCAGAGGCCCCCGAGGCCTCAGCCTGGAGGGGAAATGGAAGGAGCAATAGCAGGTGGTAGAGACCACCCGGCCCGGAGTCAGGAAGTCATGAGGGGCGTCCGGTTCCCTGCCCTTGGGTGCTGGTGGGGGGGCAATGCCCACAGGCCACTGGGCTGATGGGGACAGAGCTGCCCCTGTGCGGGGACCCACCTCCCCAGGGAGACGGAACAGGCCTCTCCGGCCCAGCTCCGACCTCGGGTGTGCTGAGGCTCCGGTGAACAGATGCTTCTCTCCACCAGGCTGATTGCCGAGGACAACGAGGGCGGCCTCTTCACGGTGACCCTGTTTCGAAAAGTGATCGAGGATTTCAAAACCAAAGCCAGAGAGAACAAGTAAGGGCTGGCCTTGGTAGACTCCTCCGGGTTTGGGCTGTCTCAGCTGGAGGGGTCTCTGCTCCGTCTGGAAGCTTCCTGGTGAAAGCCTCTCATTTGCTTGTTTTAAGGTTCACTGTCCGTGAATTTTATTATGACGAGAAAGAAATTAAAAGGGAAAGGGAAGAGATGAGCAGGTTGCTGTCTGATAAGAAGCAACAGTATGTGAGTAAACTACACAGGCGGGCGGGCTTCATGCAAGAGCACCCCCCTCCCTTGGGGGCCATGTGGCCCGGAAACCTGTGTTCCCCTGGAGCTGCCAGAGCGGGGCTGGGGAAGGGAGAGGGGCACCCAGGTGCGCCTTCCGTAGGAGAGCTCCCGAGTCCTGGCAGCGCCCCTCCAGGAGGGGACTCCAAGCCCCACTGTGCAGCTGAGAAACTGAGGCTCTGGGAGGTCAGGGAGCATTTCCCCCAGGACGAGGAGACTGGGGCAGGGCAGGTAGGGATCCAGGCGGGGGTCCCTGTGCCGAGCGTGGGCAGCCCTGTCCCCTCAGTCACCTTGCTGGCCTCAGCAGTGTGGTTCCCCAGGCGTGATGGGATAGCTTCTGTCGTCAGCACCCGTATTTATTCCCCCTACGCTTTTAGCAAAGAGTGGGGGCTTATCCTTGAGATTTCTGACAACAGCCACTCGGAAACCTTCCGCGTGCACGGGCAGCTGAGCTCACGAGGGAGCAAACCAGGCTTTGAGTTTGGGCATGTGAACAGGGTAGCCTTGGGAGAGTCACTCTGCTCTGTGGGATGGGCCCCTTCCTGCTACGGAGAAGCCTAAGCCAGGTGGCTCCAGGGGCCCCCCTGGTGGAATGTCTTCAGGGCCCCTCTGCCCCCCATCCCCACTGGGGAGGGTTCTCAGAAACTTCCAGTTCGGCCTCTAGTGTAGAGAGGAAGGGAAGAATGAATAGAGTGTACTTCAGGCCTTTTGGAGGAAAGCCGGTGTGTGAACATAAAGCTGTAAGTCTGTGCTTAGGTGAAGAGCAAGAAGTACCTCCCGTGTGGCCAAGTGTTGGCCCCGGGTCTTCTCTGACGCCGGGCTGGCGGAACGGGCACGTCCGGCTCGACCTCTCTGGTCAGTGGCCTTTCCACAGGGACTCCAGACAAGCCTCGCCCCCTCAGAAGTGAGCAGCAGCATGGGGTTCCACAAAACGGGGTTCTCAAAGCCCCACTGGACGGGCCCGTCCCCTCTGAGGACGAGACAGGAGCTCATCATGTAATAGTGCCTGTGGGGGGGTTTAGCCCCACCCCCAAGCATATGTGTGTGTGTGTGTGTGTGTGTGTCTGTGTGGACGTGAGTGTGTGCATGCCAAGTGAACACACCCGTTTCTGATCCTCAAGTCTGCCGGGCTTTGGGTTGAGGGCTCTTCCTGAGACAAAGAGCTGAGGCGGCGCTGGGCCCCGAGACCTCAGACCCCGCACACCCAGGCAGGGAAGGGGTTCACCAACAAGAGCCGCAAAACCCAAAGGGTTTTTCTCCTTGGCCTTAGCTCGCCCCAAACCCTCATCACCCAGGAGCGCTCAGTGGTCTCTCTAGCCTCGTCCCTGCTGGCTTCGGTCCTGGCCCCGGGCCCCCTACCCAGTGTCTCTGGGTGGGGGGCTAGACAGTGGCAGCTTTGACAAATGTCCGGGCGGGAGGCCCTGCCCGCAGGACGGGTGGTCAGGTCGTGCCTTTGGCACTGGCCTCGGCGCTGGTACAGACCCCCTGAGGATCCAGGTGACACACAAGAGCTCGACACCTGCCGCCTGGGGCTCAGGTTGCCACTTCCTTACAAGGTGTAGGCTTCTGCACCCCCACGCTGCCCCGGGAGCCCTTCCAGGGTCTCTGTGGAGGGGAAGTGGAGCTCCAGAGGAGACACACGAACTCGGAACCATTTAGCTCCTTGCGAGGCTCGGGCTGTGTGCCACTGAGCGGGGTCAGCCACCGAGCGGGGGTCAGCCGGGGGCAGCCATACCCTGGCTTCCGAGACACCTCTTTCCCCTTTAGCTTGTGGGGCGGTGGGCATGGCCAGCATCCCGCGCCGTCTTTGGTCCTCGTCACCCCGAGGGGACAGGCTAGGTCCTGGGGTGTCGGCTCCCTTGGACAGCACAGGGTGGGATTTTCCTGTGCTTTCTCCCCGTCTGCAGAGGCGGCGGATAAAGGATGGTAGGTCCTACCAGCGTGCCTGGCTCATTCTCTGTACGGAGCTTCCATGGGTGCCGCGGGGCCCCCCCGTGGCCGGACGGGGTGGAGACGCGCCCCGCGGGCACAGCCGTTTCCGCTAACGGCTGCCTCCCGGGGACGGTCCCTGTCCTGTCCGCCCGTGGAGGGGAGGTGCGGACCGAGGCCGGGCAGGGGGACGGAAGCGGGAGCTGACCCCGCTGTCAGCGGCCGGCTCTGTCGCTGCAGGAGGGGACCCGGACACCTGAGCGCCCCCCATCCATCTCCAGTGCAGGCCGCACGCGGGTCCCGAGGGCGGGCCGGCATTCCCAGCTCGCCTTCACGCGCTTTTCCGGCGACGCGAGTTACTTCTGTTCGTTGTGATGCCTGTTTGCTGAGAGATTAATAAATCATTTCTGTGCCTTTAGCAAACTTCCTGTGTTGCTCTTAAAAAGGGATCATCCACCTTCCCGGACCACAAGGTTAAGGTAACCCCGCTAGGTAACCCCGCTAGGCCCGCTGCGGGGCAGACGGACAGAGAGAGAGAGAGTGAGGGCGAGGGAGAGGTAAGAGCACCCCGCAGCCCCGGGGCCCCGCTCGCATGTCCTCGCCGGCGCGGGCATCCCTGAGAGAACGGCGCCTTGCATTTTCCGTACGCAGTGTGGCTTTGGAGGGCTTAAATCAAGGAGCCCAGGATCCAGCCTCCCTCCTCACCCGGAGGGCGTCTTTGGAGCTGCCCCCCGCGCCCCGGCAGGGGATGGTGCTTGTTGGCCAGGGTGCCTCTGCCCTGCGTGGAGGTGGCTGCAGCTGGTGACGGGGGCAGGCCCTGCTGGGTGGCGGCGGTCGGGCAGCTCGGCTCTCCCCCAGCCCCCGGGCTGCCCTGGCTGGACCCACCCCGGACCTCTGCGGGCAGGCGGACGTGTCGGTGGGAGCTCAGAGCCCTCGCTGCAGGACTCCGGCCCCCCCGCCCCCCGAGGACCGGCCACACCAGCATTCGGGACAGCTGCTGCGGCCCCGAGGGGTTGCGGCCTTGTGAGGTGGGCTCGGCGGAGCCCCCCGGAAGCGGCAGCTGGGGGATGATGCTAGAACGGCGGGG